CCAGTCCTATTTCCCCACCCACCTTATCTTCCCACCCACCATGTAAATTTGAAAAAACATAATCCTATTTTTACACCCACCATAATTCCTAAAATACCCTTTAATTATTAATTCAAGCAAATTCTCCTTACTTTCATTCAAAGCATGCTTCAAACCTTCAACCCCTATCAATCAAAACGCGTGGGATCCTCTGTAAAGTATTATTAAAAAATTTAAAAATAAAGAAAATCGCTATCAATGTTCATCGTCTCTCCACCGAACGAAAACAATAACGAAGAGAAATGCTAGAATTAGAAAGAAGACGAAGAGCAAACTGAGCAAATGGAACAGAAAGCCTATGCCCTTGGGTTCAGAAACTGAGGAGAAATCTAATGGAATTGGATTGGACCCAGTTGGAAATTTTGAAGCTTTATTGGAATTTTGATTTGGGTTTGGTCGGGATGAGGGAGAGAGGGAGGGGTTGGGGTTTGACAAGGATGAAGGAGAATATATAGGTGTTTTTTTTAATCTAAGGTCCTTAAAAGTCATTTTACAAATAGATAAATTTGTTTTTAAATTTTGAAAATAAAGTGAGTGGGGAAATAAAACAGGTAGTTGGAAATAGCAGCACTCTTTCAATTGTAAAAGCACGAGGATAAGAGGAAAAATAACAAATTTATAAAATATTAACGTGAAAATTGTCTCCTAAAACCGAAAAAGTAAAAATAATAATAATTTACAAACCCTCCCCCAAAAAGAGAAGTGGAATTATTAGAGTGACAAGTCGGACCAGCATTTTTGTCCTCCCGCGGTTGACTGTTGGGTCTGCAAAAATGGAGAACTCGTCGACGAACGACTCCGCCACCAATGGCGACGCGCCGCCGTTAAATTCCAGCCTCTACTCGGAGGGAGAGATGATCCTTGCGTACGACGCCAAGGCAAGCCACTTTTCCTTTCTCTTCTCCAACCTCCATCTTCTTTAATCTAACTGCCCCAATTTTCTGAATTCTTTATTTATTTATTTAGCTCTGCAATTTTATTAAAATTTACTAGAGCTGTAGTATTATCAAGATTGATCGATTAGTTTGTCCAATGCTGATTGCAATCATGAAATTTTGTTCACCTAGAAATGCTTTAAACCTTATGCCGGAAATTTGATACGAATGTTTTTTCTTTGCATCAATTTCTGGTTTTCTGTATGTTGAGATTAAATTATGCTTCGTCTCAAGTAGCTGAATTTACTCTCTCTTTCTCTGCTGTAATTTTCATGTAAAACAACTATAACCTTTCCCAACTCTTTTTTTCTACTTTTCTTTCTAGTTTCCTTTTTCTTTTATTGCATTTATACACATGATCATGTTATTTTCTACATTCAATTATCCTCTGTCTATGCAGAACTGCATATGTTTCTTCTACTCACAGATGAAAAATGCTTCCTTTGAGAACTGTTTCATATTCTCCTTAGGTCTTATTTATGTTTTCTCTTACTGCCATTTCTTTGATGGGCAATTTCTGGGTTCTCTAATTGTTAGGACACTGTCTCCTTGGAAAATCTTTTCATGAGTCAAATTCCCTCAATACTAAGGAAGCAAGTTGTTGATGATCCGGAAGTTGTTTATCAGCAGGATAAGGTACATATGAACTGTTAGAAGCAACTTCTCTTGGTTGTCATTTAACAATGATAAAGAATGATGCTTTCATGGTTAAATTAAATATGCCTTTCAAGAATCTATTTGGTTCTTCACATGTATTCCGTTATCGAAGTACCTCCAACCTTTCAGAGATACAATTTAGTGTTTCAATACTATATTGATTGCTGAATCCTCTGATCATTTGACTCCCTTGAGGAGTAGCCCAAATGCTTTTTGAGTTGGATGGAAAATAGGGGTGGTTAAATAAAAATATGTGTATTTGAAAATTTAATTGTGTTTTGACATTTTACCATATTTATGTATGTTTTCTCAGTTGACTTCGGTGCACGTCAATAATCTTTTTCTTTTTCTTTATATGGAACCTCTACCTGGGACATTATACAAAATAAAATACTAAGGAAAGTAAATGATGGGTTAGGATTCTATGTCATCAAATTGGAAAACAATTAAAACAGACCTAATTATTTCCCGTTCTCTGCCTATTCCTTTCTCAAATTTTGCTAGCATTTTTTAGCAGTTAGACCAAGAAATAAGAATAATGTTTGAGGCCATGTGCTGAAACTAAAGAATGCAGCATTCAAATTCTAAATGAATATGAAATGATACAGTTTTGTATTATTATTAGCGATCG